AAAACTCTCTATAGGTTCATCAGAATGTAATGTGTTTGATAAAACAATATCTGATTCTCTCGAAAATATAAATTTTCAAAATAAAATCCTGGGTATTGACGAGAATGACAGGTTAGAAAAAAGAGGATTGATAAATGTTGCAGGCTCTATTTCCAAAACATTATTTGGAACTCTGGATTCTGATGATGCCAAATACTACGAGATCAAATTGAATCTCTCAAAATAAATCAATCTCACATGACAAATCTTTTGAAAAAACAAACTTCGATACTTCAAAATACTATTCACTTATTAAATTCCACTTCCACGAAATCTTCCAGATATTTATTATCGTTTGATACAAAAGTAGCCGAAATTGTGAAGTTCTTGAATAAAATAAATAGAAATGAAACAGATTTTCGAAAAAGGGAAGCTGTATTAATGAAAATGGATGAATTAGTGTCAGTTCTCAACATGCTATTTTTATCATTCAAGTTCAATCAGAATAATCTTAGGGAAATCATAATATTTGCACAGAAGGGATCTTTACACCCACTAGTTATTAGTCCAGATAAATTGTTAGCACAACTTTCTAACCTTCAGAACTATTTAAATGGATTAGAATTTCCTGTTCGACCAATTATGGAAAACATGCATATTTTATATAATATAGTTAGGACAAATGTATATTTTTTTAACAATAAATTGACATTTATAATTCTTATTCCTTTGATGGATACTCGGAGTTTTGGAATTTTTAAGGTTTCTAGTTTGCCAATTTTTATCGCAAATTCCACTTTTGCAATGGTTGTTCCACATAGTGAATTTTTAGCGATCGATACTCCAAGGCAACATTATTTCATGATGAACAGATTCGAATTTTCCGAGTGCACTGAGCTAGTGAAGATGCAGTTCATTTGTCAGCAGAAGAAACCAGTATGTTTGGTTCATCTGCATGGTGGTTGTGAAGCTAATCTATTCAGTTTGAGCACAAATATTCCTGAATCTTGTGAGAAGAGAATAACCAAATTAACAAATCCAATAATAATTCAGTTAGCAAACGCTAACTCTTGGTTGTACGTGTTTCCTTCGGAAGAATACATCGACATAAGTTGTAAAAACAGTAACGAAAGAATATCATCAAAACTCATTGGTACTGGAATGTTCAATATACCTTCAAATTGTACAGCATTTACGAAGTCAATGATTCTTAACCCGCATCAACAATACTCCAGTAATATACTTCTAGATTACATTCCACCCTTGGATTTAGTGGAAGAAATAATAATAATAATAATAATAATAATAATAATTTATTTACCAGAATATAATATGGGCAATGTACAAAAAATTTCCATAGACAAAAATTATCACAAAATTTGATACATAGGTATATTAAGAGAGACGGTAAATAAATTTGGATGCCACTAAAGGTAGACCTTGAAAGTGGTTCTAAATTCATGACGTCTGATACGTGTATGTTTGGGGTTACTTTTGATATATAATTCCCTACCTATATGCCAATACAGTTAACATGGTAACCTAAGACTAATAATTTATATTTTTCATAGTTAAAACAGGTTATATGAAATGAAATATGAAGTGAAGGAATGATTTAAAGAATGCATACAATTATCATTGATGAAATTTCAAATTCCAAATAAGAGTCAGCCCGCGTAAGAATCATTCTTGATGAGCTGGATTGAATCACAGGGTCAGCTTGAGATTATGTGTTTTATTATGCTATGTGTTATGTGTTTTGGTATGTGTATGATGTATTACTACTGTGGATCAGTTGATGAATTTCTATTCTTGGCTTTTCTTTCATCCACTTTTTTATTCTAATTTTGAATTGTGAATTTGAATGAAGGTTCCTCAGCTGCAATGGCAATTCATTGAATAGTCTGGGACCTAAGTAGAAATAGGACTTTTGTAATATATTTTTTTTTTATCTTGGTACTTTATTGAACCTAGCTTTAGTGCGTGTATCATAGTCATGCGATATAGCTATGAGGTCCGATTTATATTTGTGTTGCCTTACTACTATAGTTAGAAAGTACAACTGTCTCAAGTCCATGAATGCTGTTTCTGAGTACAGCAGATCAGAAGAATAAAGGCGAGGCTTTTTATATATGACTTTTATGATGCAATTTTGTATGACTTCAAGGCTTCTGATATGGACGTTGTTCGTAGCTCCCCATGCGATGATACCATAGCAAAGGTGACTTTCTGCCAGAGCATGATATAGAATTCGTAATTGTTCCATTTTCAATAATTTAGAGAGGCATTTGAATTTATATAGAGTGCACCTTAATTTTTTGGTCACATAATTGATATGAGCATCCCATCTGAGATGACTATCTAAGAAGATGCCTAGATATTTGAGTGAGTTAACTGACCGTATGTTCAATAACGTGCCATTTCTGTGTACAGATAGTGAGTCAAATTCAGGTAAGTTGTTCGAGTAGGATGTGAAAGGGATATAATGAGTTTTGCCGAAGTTGATGGTTAGCAATCGACTGTCAAACCATTCTGTTAATTTTTGGAAGTCCGTTTCTGCCTGATATTTCAAAGTATTCCAATCTTTATTGGTGAACAGGATTGCCGTGTCATCTGCGAAAGTAACTATCTCTCCATTCAGCTCTAATTTGAATAGGTCATTCAAATATATATTGAAAAGCACGGGTCCCAGAACAGTTCCTTGCGGAACACCATATTCAATAGTAGCTGTATTACTTGACGAATTATTGATTTTCACAAGCTGTTTTCTATTCAATAAATAGTTTCTCATTATTTTGTTGGGTATTCCTCTGAAGCCGATACCCTCCAATATATCTAGCAATTGCTCATGGGAAACTGTGTCGAACGCCTTTGCCAAATCGACAAATATGCAAAGTGCGGGTTGTTTTTCATCCATACATTGGCTAATTCTGGTACATAGTTGGTTAATCGCATCTTGTGTCGACATATTTGATCTGAATCCATATTGTTTGTCTGAGAGAATTTTATATTTGTCCAGGTATTTTGTTATACGATCTTTCATAACAGTTTCCATTATTTTGGCTAGACTCGATATCAAGGAAATTGGTCGGTAGTTCGACAATATTGTTTTGTCACCTGATTTATGAATTGGCTTGATCATCGCTATTTTGAAAGGAGAAGGAAAATCTCCAGTTTCGAAACACCGGTTTATCAGAAATATAAGAGGGTGTACAATGAAATCTACTAACATCTTCAGGATTTCTGAAGTTAGGTTGTCAATCCCTGGTGCTTTTTTATCTTTCAGATTCCTAATGATATCCCTCAGTTCTTGTTCATTCGTTTCGGCGAAAAATATAGAGTTGGGAAGATTTGTCATTGATACTCTTGGGCGATTGTTATTTGGGATGATTTTTTCTGCTAGTTTTTTTCCTATTTGCGAAAAGTATTTATTGAATTCAAATGCGATTTCTTCTTCATTGGTAGCAAGCTCTTGGTTTTCTTTGATGATTTTATCGATGCCAGATTTGGCCCTGTTATTTTTGCAGATTTCATTGACACATTTCCATAGATTACCTGAGTTGTTTATATTTTTCTGGATTTGATTTTGATAATAATTAAATTTAGTTTCTTTTATTAATTCATTCAGTCTATTTCTGTATCTTTTATAATTGTTTGTATTATCCTCAGTTGGGTTCTTTTTCATGGTTTCGAATAGTTCATTCTTTTTATTCACTGAATTCACTAGTCCTCTCGTGATCCATTCTCTCTTTTTATTTTCACATGCCCTTATTCTTATTGTATTTGTACATGAACTTATGTAGTTTTGAATGGTGGTGATGAATACTTTTGTTGCGGATTCAACATTTCTTTCGGAATAAACTGTCAACCAATTTTCATTTTTAATTTGATTGAGTAATTTATTTTTGTCCAAGTAATGCCTGACTTCATTTTTGACTTGAGTTTTCTCATTTTTGGTTATGATGATTTGCGCCAAGGTCGAGAAATGGTCTGTTATATTTGTCTCGAGTAATATTGGTTTAATTTTAATATTATTATCGACTTTGGTTTTGATAAATATATGATCTATACATGTTTTTGAATCATTTTGCACTCTAGTGTAGTTATTGATACCAGAAACAAAACCATGTTCAGCCATTAGATTCAGATAATCATGTGTATCATCATCATCATCACTCAAGATATTTATATTTATATCACCAACCAATATATGAAGGTCTGTATGTATTGGATTTCTCAAATATCTGGATAGATTTTCATTAAAATTGTGTACGTTCGTGGATGGTGGTCGGTATAGTGCAGTGATTAGTTTGTTTTTGTTGTTGTTGCTAGTTAACATAATTTCAACTCCTTTTATTTCACCAATGTTTATTATTTGAAAATGTGTTTTTATCTCATTTTTAACAAATATTACTATTCCATCATTTTGGTTGATATCCCCATGGTTATAAAAACTATAATAACCACTCATATTATGAACTGAGAAGTCGGGTATTTGCCAAGTTTCAGATAGAATAATAATATCTATTTCATTTCTTATTCCTGATAATAATAGTTTTAGTTCATCAATATTTTTGTTTATGCTTCTAATATTCATGTGGAATACTTTTATATCTTTTTCATGTTGATTTTCATCGAAGTAATCATCAAGCTGACCTGTGTTTTTTGCTATGAGTGTGTCGATACTTTAAATTCGAAAGTCTCGGATGTATCTGTCCATATTTGGGCCTTTTCGAGCTAACAATATTTGGAAAAATCAAGAAATATAGTTGATTCTAATACAGAATGAAGGGACTTGAACATGAAATCACATCAATTACTCAATTGGTGATTTATGTCCTAATATTAAAATTATTGAATAATGAGATAAGATGATGAAAACAGAATAACGCGAGAATATTATATGAGCAGTATATAGGTACAATGATCATAAGAGAATATTACGAAACTATGAAGTGAAATTTAACAAATATTGAAGGTAAAGAACACAATGCAATTAATTAATAGGTAACTAGTAACAATTAATGTAATAAAACAATAAAATCAATGTGATACATGAAGAAGAGGTATGGATATTTGAACTTGTGTTTAGAAGAGTTGCTGAATTGTCTTGTTATTCTCTTTGGCGGAAGCTCGAGGGAATTATTAGGTGGGTCCTTTCTTTTCACATATGACGTAGTTTGTTGTATCTGTTCCTTATCTTGTGGTTTTGGATGTTTCTTGGGGTCAATATGATGATGCCTTGAATTTTTGCTGATTTCAGATGAATAATCTTCCAACTCTTCAGCTGTATAGCTAGTTCCATTTACTATAAGCTTATTTTTTGTTATTTTTGCCTCCGGGTCGTTGGTTCGAGCAATTTTCAAATTGGAATATAAAATTTTTCTACTTATGTAATCTTCCTTGATAAAGTCTTTCGATATGTAAATCCCACTGCCTTTCAGATTAGATGCTTTTTCTAAGATTGATTCCTTCTGTTTATAATATAGGAGCTCTACTACTATTGGTCTGGGTTTTTCTGATTCCTGATTTTTGCTACCAATTCTGTACCAATCCCGAAGATCATGGAACTTGCACTCAACTTTACATTTGTTGTTTATTATATCTAAAAAGCATTCAATATCTCGTAGTTCATCCTCTTCTTCTTTCATCCCATATATAATCAAGTTGAATTTTTTGTGTTTTCTCTCATTCACTAACAGTCTTTCCTCCAGCACCTTGACACTTTCTTTCAATACAACGTTTTCCTTTTTTAATTCTTCAATTTCATCATTTAGGTCCGCCCTGATGTTATGTATTTCGTTTTTTATTTCATCATTTTGCTTCTTAATCTCATTGTTACTTGAAATAACAGTTTTAATCAGGTTGAATAGATCTTTATTTGATATATCTTTTTCTTCTTCTTGGAAATTTGATGTCTCCAATAATTCTGTCATTTCTCCGCGTGATATTTTTGTTTGCCGTGACCTGCCCCTACTCGCTGTGACTTCAATACTAATTTTGTATTTTAATTCACGACACGCTGTCTAGGCTGGTGGCTGATATTATTATCATTGAACGTCCCCACTCACTACACTTCACTGTGCTAAAGGAAAATAGACATTACTTACAGTTCTCCCGCGTTGAAATCAATCTGCTTAGTACTTAATTTCCGGGAAAATAGAGCATACATTTGAATATTTCAGACTATGACATACCTCATCTATCTCTTGGAAATAAACCACTAATGATTAGTCACGATGATTCGACAACATTAGCAAAGATAAGTTTTGACATTGATTCCTTACAGAAGCTTCAAAATTCGTATGATTCACACCAATCAAATCTTGTTTATTCTTACAATTTTCATAACATATTAACGTATTCAATTTTGATTTTGACAATACTTTTGGTTCCAAGTTACCTAATATATAAAAAGTTTCTCCCAACAAAACGTGAAAAACAGACATCAGACATTTCCAAGCCGCCTCAGGAAAACGAGGAAGATTCGAATCCCCAATCCGCTTGTGGAATTGGTGAAAATTGTACACAGAAGCGGTACAATTTTCAAAAATAGGGGGGAGGTGTTGTAAAGCCAATCCCTATGTTCTGGAATCACACAGTATATCATTATATCTTGAATAGGTCTACCTTGTTTCATCATTCCATTTGATGCATATTTATATTATTGCAACATAAATTGTTTTATTGTTTATATCCATACATATATATTTTGAATTGCTGAATCTTTGGTTTCCACCTCAACCTCATTTTCGGGTACCTACATTTATCAGATTTCCTAATGAGGAAATTCTTTTTTGATTGGATCATAATTATCGGACGATCATTGATTATTGGTTGATAACGTCCAACGCGGAACGCGTCATGGATTTGACGTTCTTTGAGTATGGAAGCCAAGGATTCATCCCCTCTTCAAAGCACTTAGTTGTAGAGTGTTAGGTGCGGATTTAAGAAGACGTGATTCAAGAAAGTGGAACAGTATTATCAAATGCCGAAAAGTTGATTATATACTTGAAGTTACACCAGATTCGAGTATCATTGTACACCAACCCCTAACTACCCCAACACTCTTTCATTTGTTGAGGAAGTAGCATCACAAGTGTTTTGTGCTGGTACTTCCTTGTTCCACCATAAATTATTGTCTGAATCATGATCAACATCCAAGTCGACATCTGAAGAAACTTTGTCTGAAGAGTCTGAAGCATTTGTGTTCACATGTGAAACATATGAAACTTTATCAACATTTTGAGAGGAAATATCAAGGGAATGAATATCATCAGATATTGTGGATGATTGATTTTCAAACCCTAAAAATGCTTCAAAATCATGCACATGAAGTTTTGCACGCTTGTAATATTCGCTATTACTATGAGACTTATCCATTATCGATATAACTTACTCACTTTGAATCTATTCTGTAAAGAACGATTAAACTAAATGATGTTTTATTTTTACAAACAAATACAAAGAAAACACAAATTAACACTGGTAACTAGAAGGTCTGTTATCTGTCAGTTTTGTCATCAGTCCTAAAAAAATCAACAATCAACGCAAGAATTCAAATGACCATGACTTTCGGTATGAACACAGTTTTTGACCAATCAGATCGATTCTAGATGGCGGTCAATTCGAATCTCTGGTGTATACTTACTGGCCTCTACCAACATAAGTGTTCTAGATGGCGGTCAATTCGAATCTCTGATATCTCTGACGAATATACTTATATACTTGCTTCTATGCCGACATAACTGGACATAACCAAGTCATAGGACCTGTATGAAAAATTCTGATAAAATATATATCATATGCTCCAAAAACGTGGAAAGATGACTTTTTGGTTTTTTTTTTCATTTTATTTTCAGAAAATATTTTGCATTTTTGTACAGTTCTGTACGTCGGATTGACTTACTGGAATGTAGGTTTTAAAGACTTATTTTATACGTCTTGGCGGTATTGACGTGAATCAGACCTAAAATGTACGTCTTTAAGATGTACTTTTCTGTACGTCTTTAATACGTACATGAATGTACGTTTTTAAGACGTCTTATATACGCCCTTGGACGTAAAGACGTAAGTCGGGCGTAAAATGTACGTCTTTAAGACGTCTGGTGCTGACTGGGGGGTGATCAGAATTCTGAATCTTGAACCACCCTGTATTTGTTCCAATTGAATGTCAGTAGATAGGAAATCAGAAGTTAAAATTGGAACATGTAAGCCGTTTTGGCCTATAATGAATAGTTTCGACACAAAAAATTACTAAAATTGAAAAAACTCGATTTTGAACACCCTATATATCTGTAACCATTCCCGCTAGACCCCAAGTGTGATGCATTGATGGAATCAGCTTTTCAGGGAGAATCTAAAAATGCAATGAAATATAGGGTGTTCCATTCAAAAAAGTACAACTTTGATATGCCACCCTTTTTTGGAACACATTGTATTCATCACACCATTTTAAAAATGTGGTCCAGATCGACATACATGCGCCTGGATAAAATTATTTCTCAGAAAGGTTACTATTTGGTCATTATAGCCCGATGCGTTCAGCTTGACTCACCCTGTATATATATATAAAATTTATGTAGATTTTTTTAGTCTACTTGTCTACCTCAATAATTCAAGACTGCCTCCTTAGTAGGATGAAAACTTGAAAATAGTAGTACATTTAGCTTCAAAAACTGCGGAATAACACAAAAATTCAACTTTATTATGTGGTTACACAGTTTCGTGTATACTTAGACTCGATGATTGTAAAAATTACTATTTCAATGAAATTATTTCAATTTACAAGATTTTTGAAATGTTGGACTAGAAACACTATTATAATAACTCTGAAAGCCATTTTGAATAATTTTATATACGATGTATAATAACAGTTGTCCTCTGTACTTGTTTTTGTGAAAGATTACACTTGGGTGATTTTTTCACCATGTTACATAATAGTGAATTTTCCCCAAGTAAAATTCAATTAAATTCCCTATATTTTTTTAACTTTTCAGGCGCCGAAGGCCGAAGTGAAGCATTATAAATATTGTTGAAAAAAATGTACTCCCAGACATTTTTGGAATGACATATTACCCACTTGCAAACCATGTGAGGAATTTTTTTCTTTCATGGAACAGGACTATCGGACAATACAAAATCACAATTTTGATCTGGCATATTACACACATTTTATATTACTTACGTTTGAAGATATCGATGATTTTCATATCTGATATTTTGAAATTTTGTTTCTGCCCTGTCCAGGAACAGTTTTGGGCAAGGTCATCATCAAAAATCTGCTGCAGGCACCTTCTTATTGAATTTTTATAATCGGAACCCCCCACAAGGAACAGTTTATTCATCTAGAATGAGAAAGGGATGTTTGAAAAAGTCATGATCGAAATAAAACCACATAAACATTTTCTTATCAAAAAGCAAATTTTCACGTTTTCAAGTATATATAATTCATGTTGACATTCTTCCTCAATTATATTTAATGTTATATTTGTTATTCTCAATATGAAACATATACATTTTTTTATTGAAACAATTGTTTGATTTTTAAAAAAATTACAGAGATACCAAACACTCGAATTCAGTCGACCACAATAAGAATTTGTCTCACAATCATTACTGAATTGTTGTGCTTGGCCTTCCTTGACTATTTGTTTTTTATCTTCAAAAATATTTGGACTACTTGCAGAACTTCGATGAACTAATGATTGAAAAATCCTTCAATATCAAGCAATCTTTTGACATGATTATTTTTTTTTATAGAATTTGGATTCTTAATATTCCTTAACATCATCTTAAATATTATTTTCACAATATTGAAAAAATCATTTTTATTTTATTACTGATTACATTATTCAGTACAAGAATACATTGTTTGGAAACCTACTATCACTACAAGAGTATTAGGTTGATTTAAAAAGTTTCAGGACTGCATATTTTGAATAATAAATATTATTATGTGGTTACACAGTTTTGTGTATACTTACAAACTGAGTGGCAGCAATATCATTGGTTTTCAGAAGGTCCTCAAAATTGAGCAGGCTGTCCATTGTGATCAATGGTAGGAATGATTTTATCATTTCATCTGATACACTAACATTTCTTTGTCTATCCAATGATTGTTCCACTATTGCATTAACTTTATTTAATGTTATTTGGCAGATACTCTTTAAATCAACAATCATTTTCATTATATCTGAAATCTGGTTGGATTGAACTACAACAGGTAGGGTCTCTACCAGGGTAACATCTGCAGGATTCATATTCTCTACCAGAGAAACATCTGGATCATGTACATTCCCTAGATTGGTAATTTCTGAGTTATCTTTTGTTGAAATTATCCCAAAAAGGCTTATTCTCTGTGTTCTATGTTTATTGTTATTTATTCCTGTGAGCAATGTGAGCTACTGATTATCCTTCTATGAACCCATGACGCCGCTACTGGCGCTTTATCTGTCGAACTCCAGTTGTCAGGATGTTTTATGTTTGTGCATCCTTGTTTGTGCTCATACTTCAATCATATGTCATTTGTCAGTTGTTCTTTATCTTTACATTTCTATGATAATATATACTTTTACTTGCAGTTATAATAAAAACGAGTTCAAGAACGTCTACACGCCTTTTTAATTATTTTATCATCTTTCATATTAATGCATGAACCTGTGAAAACGGTTACAATTATTACTTATACAGACTGGGTGTCCTTAAAAGGTCTTTACAGAAACTCACCACGTATTCCTCAAACCAAAACAATTCGATACAAGCAAACCTACCTCAGTACAGAGTTGCTTAGTTTGGGCGCTAGACGGCTCTGAAGTTACAATTTTCATATCGTTCTTGCTCCATAACCTATAAACGACTCATGAGATTTTATTCAAATTTGGTACATTGACAAAGCTTTATTGGGCAATGAAACCCATATTATAATTATGATAAATATCATTCCATGAGCGTAGAACTTGATTTTTTTAGTAAAAAACATCTGAAACTTCTACGCCAATGAAGAGAAAGTGATGAGAATATAAAATATCGATTGCGTAACTTTTTTACTACAAAAGAGGTACTCCTGATAAAATTCGATTACTCTCATGGTTTCGACAAAATTTTTATTTTAGTAATTCAACACTAAAAGAATAAACAGCTGATATTTCATAAAAAAAATTCAAAATTTTCATCATTTCTATCATCTATCAGCTATTTCTGGTTGTTTTTTTGTACTGAGTAAGCCAGAGTCCTCTAATAGCGCCCAGATTGAGCAACTATGTACTGAGGTGAATTCGCATGTATCAATTATTTTCGTCGTATATATCTTTGTATACGTGAAAATGATGAACATTTTGAACAATTTTCATGACATATCTGTTGATTGTTTTAATGTTGAGTGATGTTTTGAATTACTAAAATTCCAATTTTGTCGAAACCTTGAAAGTAATCGAATTTTATCAGGAGTACCTTTTTTGTAGTGAACAAGTTACACAATCAAAATTTCATATTATCATCACTTTCTCTCCATTGGCGTAGAAGTTTCAGATGTTTATTTACTGAAAAAATCAAGATCTACGTCCATGGAATGATATTCATCATAATTATAATATGGGTTACATTGCCCAATAAAGCTATGTCAAACGTACCAATTTTGAATAAAATCTCATGAGCCGTTTCAAAGTTATGAAGCAAAAACGATTTGAAAATTGTAACTTCAGAGCCGTCTAGCGCCCAAACTAAGCAAATTTGTACTGAGGTAACTTTGCTTGTATCAAATTGTTGTGGTTTGAGGAATATGTGGTAAGTTTCTGTAAAGAACTTTTAGGGACACCCTGTATATCTCCTCTCAAAACTTCTCTTACATAACAAATAACCATAACAGCTAAATCAAACCTACAATAAAGAGAGCAAACATTGAAAAATTAGAGAAAGCAGGCTCCAACAGATAACGCCAATTGAAAGTAGATTTGGCTCCGATCAATAATTATAATCAATAAAAACGATTTTCTTTAGATTTCTAATTCAGAGTTCAATAAAGACACAATATTTCTGTCTGCAGCACTGACTAATTTAAAAAAAAAAGTCAACTTTAAATTTGACCAGTGAAATTGAAGAATATCGAAGTGAAGTTTGAATAATTACATTCCACACACACATCTATCATAAAATGTATAACTCACCTGCCCTCTCTTCACTCCCACTGGCTTGAATATGACAAGAAGTGTCATCCCATCCAGAATCACTTGAATTTGCTTCTTTAGTCCAACCATCATCTGTCAGGTCAGAACTAACAGAAGGTGGCCTAACAAACTTTTCATATGCTGTTAAAAGTTTTTTTTTGTTTTATTCTTCTTTTCCCAGGTCGTTGCTCCTGACTTGCTTCAGATTCAGAGGTAGCTGCTAATTTTTTCTCATAATCAAGGGCGTTGGTATAAGATTCTAGAATGAAATGAAAATTACTAGGGGAAATAAAAAAACCATCAACTCACCAAACACATTGTGAATTGTACAGCTGTACTGTTTCCAGTCATCACTGGGAACAGTTCTTTTGATTATGAGGGTTCGTGTTATTTTTGAATTGGTAGGCCACCAACATACAAGCGTCTATAAACACCGGAGGCTCTCTGCATCCGATGATGTCCGATCATGGTCGGACGTCGCCGCTGATGCAGAGCACGCGCCAAATTTAAAAACATAATAATAATCCATGAGTATCAAGTGATCGAGTGTAATGTTTTGGAAAAATTATGCAAAGTATTTTTTTCTTTCCGAATGAGATGCTTATATTGCGAGAGCTAAACATTCCAAAGGCCTCACATGTTTTTTTTTATATCAGGACAAAATTGACACAATAAACACAACTTATTTACTTATTAGTTTTTTTTTTTGTGGATACATCAGATTTATGGCGATATTATCGGCGTCCATATCATCTGGATGGATTAATCTATTACTAAATAAGTCGTTTATTATAGGAACAGCTTTTTTGATTGTTCGGTATAAACGTCTCTGTTGAGTAACTTTTTTATTTTGATGCGTTTCAGCCCTAATAACACACGTTATCCAGACGACATCAATTTTATATCCATTTGCCGTCCAAGACATCCATGGACGCCAAATGGAACTATCTTTTGATGTACATTGTTGTATATCCAGCTGATGATCTAGTATGTACTCCATCTGGAAGCCTATCTATGTCCATGGACGCACATCGAATAGCCACTTGGATGTACATACCGGATACTTGGCAGTACATATTGGACATCCATAAGTGTATTGTCGGGATGTCCATTGCAGCGAGAAATTTCCAGAAGAGTGAAATGAGAAGAAGAAGATCTGAATTCATCTGTCAGAATTCGAAACGTAATATAGGTTATGTTTATTTCATTCATTCATTTTGGTGGACTTTCATGATAATTACTAGTATTTTATAGTTGAATTATGCCCCAGTTTCCTGATACAAGTAAGTTCTTATTATTTCTGTGTCTATTCAGGTGTTCCTAATTGCGAATTGTTATGATAACATAACATATTTCTTCGATAGGTAGGTAAAACACCCTTCACCAGAATGAACAGAAGGAAAAATATTTGAAACAGGTTCTTCCGACGTATCTACTATAAAGTAGAAAAAAAATCATCGGATGTTGACAAACTCTTGAATGATAGGACAACAGATGATGTGTGGGCAAGAATCACTGACAATTTCGCAGTTTGAGGAATTCTCATCTTGGGGCCAATTATCTTGCTCATCGACCTAAAGTGACGATAAAAATTTATGGAACACCTTTTTCACTACATGTGGCTTTTGCATGATGAGGCTCTAACACATTACACTCTAAATGTCCATTGCTGTTTCATTCAACAGTTTTCAGATAATAAGTAGATGAAACGGCAGAGGAAATATACTGTGATGTCCATGGACCCATGTCACAAGTCAGTGTCAGATCCACGTCCACCTACAAGGGCCAATCAGATGCCAAGCAAACACACGCCACCCCAGAGGACCAACCAGAGACCAACACGTGTGAGACGCGCTGATCCGAAGACCAAACCGGCGAGGAGACGCCAGTCTACATCGAGCACCTAGCATGACCACCTGATGTATATCCGTCCGCGCGATTGTGCCGGTACCAGATTAATATATAATATCACTTTTGTACGCGTTCAAAACCCATCTGTGATTAAATGATAAATTCCGAAGTCTGTCTATTCTGTTCTGAACCCAGAACACTCCATATACTATAGTTTATGGGGAGCAGTACCTATAAATTTTAAGGTGTACTTCAGACCAGTAAATACTGAACAGGAATTATGGAGACAGATTCAGAATGCATTGAATATTTTCAAGAACAATGCAGAAACGATGCAATATATGCATTCTAGTTTTTGTGCTGCCAGTGCATTGGACCACTTCTTTTCCAATTTATCATCCTAAGTAGGTACTATCTATTTTTTTATCATTATATACTTTATGTTTGGAATAAAAGAAAATAACAACCTGTCTTTTGAATACGTATAGGTTGGTATATATGTCCAATATATGGACACCATATGGATGTCCATAATTTAATGGACACCAAATGGATGTCCATCATGGATAACGTATGTATGTCCTAAAATGTGGAAAGCTGATTTCTTATGGACATCCATAGGATGTCCTGTGTACACAAAGTGGTTATCCTATGTATGTCCAGGGTGTCCGGGTGAGGATATCCATTGGATGTCCAATGGATGAAGGTGTTCGGAATTCTATTCATTGGTTTCTCTTTTTTCTTTACCAATTTTTAATGCTTCCAGAATCTTCTGCTGGTCAGAAAATCACAATCAAAGCTCTCGTTAATTAATGAATTTCTCTCATCTATAGGAAAGAATGAAAAGGTTGAATATAGAGGGTACCTACCTATAGAAATACTTTATTTCTTAACATGACATACATGTGTTGAAAGTATATGTGAGTGATAAAAAATGTTACAAATATCATAATTGAAATTGCTCATCTTGGAGGTATTCATCAACTGTATAGTAAGCTTTACCAATGAGAAGTTCTTTGATTTTATGTTTAAACGCTCTAATGGTAAGTGATTTGAAGACATTCGGTAGTTTGTTGTACAGTGTAGCTGCCATATAGGAACAATGCTTCTCCAAGTAGGTTGTACGATGACGTGGAAGAATTATGAGGTAATTTTTTTGCCTGGTTTCCGCATTACTGAAATTGAATTGATTTTTATTTTTATGTACATATAAGAGTTGTTGAAAAATATATATACAAGGAACCGTTAGTATTCTCAGTCGTATAAAATTATTTTTACATGTATCATATCGACTTATTTTGCATATTATCCTGATTGCTCTCTTTTGAATTCGGAAAGTAGATATCCAGTCGGTTGAATATCCCCAGCAAAATGTACCATAGGAAATTTTAGAGTGGAAAGAAGCATAGTATAACATTTTCAGAATAGGGAGACCCATGCCTTTGTTCATCATTGCTCTCAGAGAATAGCAGCTCGTGTTGAGTTTCCTATTCAGAATGGAAATGTGCTTTTTCCAATTCAATTTATTGTCAAGAATGAAACCAAGCGATTTTATGTCTTCTGTATATTTAACGTTGAACTTTGCTGTATCAATATGTAACTGATGTCTTGGACTGAAAAAAATACAAAAAGTTTTTTCAAAATTGATGTTAATTTTGTTGTAGGTGCACCAGTTATTTATATCAGTTAAACATTGATCAACACAGTTAGGTAAACTTTTTTCTTTTTCTGACCGAACAAGGCACAATGTATCGTCTGCGAATAATATTGTAGAACTATTATTTATGCACGATGGGAGATCATTAATGTATAGCAAAAACAGCAATGGCCCAAGGATAGACCCTTGTGGCACACCATTGCTGACTTTGCCCCATGCGGATGTTGATGGTATACTTAATAGTTAATGTTGAAATGTCTGCACATCTAAAAACGCCTACATGAGCATCAGGGCAATAGTCTTTTATATCGAAAATGATCACACTATGTAGCCACCAAGAAAAATACCTGAAAAAAACCTATTCATCCTTTAGGCTTGCAAGTAATTAGATGTAATGTTATTCATGTGCTAGGTACGCACATTTTGAAAACTTGCAAATTGTGGATACTTGGGCCTGTACAGGCCCCAATATTCTGACATATTTTTCGACTCAGAATAGATATAATGAGCTAACAATAATGCATACAAGGTGACCCATCAATAACTTGACATAAGGGTGTAATTGATAAAATACAGGGTGTATCTTAAATGATGACTTTAATTTCAGGTGGTGATTCCTTGTCATATTTCATGACAAAAAGTTACTATAAACGTGTGTCCTAACTTGCTCCGTTTCCGAGTAACGGGGTGTCCAAAGTTTAATGAAAAAGTAAAAAGTAACAGAGAAGCACAGACATTGATTGCATAACGATAACGTTTTGCTATTAATTTCCAATAATATCAAACTCAGCAACAACATCAGCGTACAATAGTTACTACAGTGAATATCACACACCACTGGAAACAAAATTCAAAATCTACTTCCATGAAAAGAAGCTACTACAAATCACAAACACACGAAGTTTAATCAAAATCGGCGAACAGTATTTTGAGTAGGTAATTCATGAAAAACCGATATTTAATTCAACTTTGGACACCCCGTTACTCGGAAACGGAGCAAATTACGCGCGCGAAAGGCAGCTGCGAATGATCCGAAGGTGATCGGACATCATCGGATGCGGAGAGCCTTCGGTGTTTATAGACGCTTGTCATAAATATTTGCCAACCAACCAATTTGTGGGAATCACAGATATGTCACCTAGCGTGTTGTTTTCCAAAAACTGAACAACAGCATACTGAAATAAAAAATAAGACTAATTGAAAAATATTCAGTTGGAATCAGTTGAATTGTTTTGATGTTTTCTGAAACACCTAACTACTTACTTCAAATGTCATCAGCATACTGAAATGAAATTGGTAAAAATAATTGGATAATTTTCAGTAGAAATTGTGTATTCCCCAAATGTCATCAATAATGAACCTAAATTATAAGATCTATCTATCTGGAAAAGGAGAGTAATTATTTTGAAGAAAAAGTATAAGATAAACAATTTTTGTTACTTTTGAGTGGAGCAATGATCATGGAAGTTTGCTATCAACAATAATTATTGTTTGTACCACAATTGTCCTAAATGTATTGATTGAAACCTTGATTAAAATCATACCCAGGAAGGAACAGAAACTTCAGTTAATTACAGAACATAGGGCAACAATTTGCCAATCAGGTATTATTTTAGATGTTTCATTTCAAAGC